ACCAGCTCCTAAGCACTTTCCTCTCTTCCTTTGTGCTTGGGTGTCTTTATTGAGTAGCTACATCTTTGTGTCTCTCCGTGGAATCTACATCACATGTCTCCCTTCCACTCAGTGCCTCAGATGATCCGTGCTGTAGAACAGCTGTGATCTGGACTAACGATGACGACTGTATCAAGTCAGCTTCCTCCTCTACACCTTCAGTACACATGCCCACTCAACTGAAACAATTGCCTGTCTAGGTGAGGCGACTCACCTGGGAGTTGTAAGGAATCCCACACTCATTAGCAAAGTACATCTCTGTGGGCCCTTGAGCCTTCTAAGGAAAAAATGTGTAATTAAAACCATCCAATCAGGAAAACTCCAATTTGTGGTTTATATTTAAAAAGGTGGTGGTTTTGAAGTTTTGTCCATTTCTGGGGAGGATAACTGGGTTACAGCCTTAAAAACAGAAATAGAGGGGATAGGAAATGGTTAAAATTTTGCTTATAATAAATAGTTCAGTGTTCTTAAGTTTCACCAATAAAGCAACATCCCAAGTGTTTCATGTTTAGAACCTCAATATTTATAATACTAATTTAGGCATTCTGGGATTTCTTTGTAGGTTTGTTGCTGTTGTTTCACATTGTATTTGTTTCGTGTGCATGCATGTGTATATTTGTGTGCAAGCATGTGTATATTTGTATGCATGCATGTATGTGTATATTTGTGTACATGCATGTGTATAGGTGGATCCATGCCATGGCATTCGTGTGGAGGCCTGAAGACAACTATGGACAGTCCATCTGCTTCTTCTGAATGACAATGAGGGCATGGCCTCACCAAGGTATGGCTGAGGAGATAGTCTTTACTAAGATAGGAGGGAAAGCAAAGCCTGAGACATCAGGAAGAGTCCAGATTGGGCGTGGCCCACAGAATAGGCTGGATCTTGGGGAGGTGGAGTTAGAGAGAGGTAGAGAAGAGAGAATAGTAAGGGTGGGCAGGAGAGGGAGAAGAGCCAAGAGAGAGCAATGTCAAAATGGTTGAGTTAGATAGGAATGGGAAGTCTGGGGAAGGGAAGGGAAGTTCCAGGGCTGGAGAGGTTTGGGGAGAGGGATGAGGAACGCTGAAGGAGCCAGGGCTCTGTAACAGGTGCTTGTGATATGAGAGGGCCTAGCAGCCATAGCGTACTTTGGCACCACAGTTAGCCACTTGTCCTGAGTTTCTTCAGGACCTGGCACCTTTCTCCAGGGGGGTCCCCAGACTCTGATCCAGGTGGCCAAGCTCAGAACGCCACCCTCTGAGTCTTCTCGATGGCCCTCTTTTTAGAAACAGGGATTTGTTTGAGTTTGCTTTCTGTATGATCATGGCATATAAAAGTTTATTAAATGAAGAGGACTTACCTATTTCGCTTCAATTGCACTTTAAATATATCAATGGTTAGAAACAAAGAAAGATTCATCTCAGTGTCTCACAAAGGAACCAGCTCTGCAAGGATTTCTCCCACCCCCACTCCCCCCCAAAAAAACCAGGTATCAGAACCCAAGCAGGACTATCACACACAGGGCAGGAGGTTTGCCTAGTTTTTATTCTAACACACATAGTGAGTGACTATATCCTTTCCCTCATTGGCTGGAGTCAGACCTCACAGACTCTGGGATTGGCTAGCTTTAAAACAAACAGCACAAAACAGAACTAAGAATGGGGGAAGGGAACCAAATGCCTTTGTGTAAAGCAGACTATTACCAGGAAGGGGAGAGTAAACTATTTGAATAGAAGTTTCATGAGACGCGGGGGATTTATGAAATTTTGGCCCTTGACAGGCTAGCTCCTTTGATATAAAAACAAAAACAAGTCTCACAAAATTTTGGGTCACCAGGATTAAAGGCAACGACCATATACATGAGAGCTAGGGAAACCATGGCTTTGGAAATGTACAGAGTGTTGTCCAGCCACCAGGTTCATATGGGGCTAATGCAGAATTCAGGCTGTGTGGTCTCTAGAAGAGCGAAGAGCGTAGATGCAGCTGTCCTCCCCACTTTACAGGAAGATACAGGGTAGTGTCCCTGCGAATAGTTTGTCAGGTCCAAAGGAAACACAAATTTCCCAAACTCCAAAACGCTGTGAGTGGATATGTCCAGAAATGACAGTCTTAGCTTAATTCAAACTGGACTCTAGAGGGATGTCTGGAGGCTAGAGAAAATCCAGCATTCCTCAGGAACTTGTAAAACGGATTTTCTGTTCGCCAAAGAAGGCATTTCCCTTGCCTCTGGCAGAAGGGACACCTGGCTCTCCTTGGAAATATACCTGTGCTGTCTGTCAGCATATCAAAGCCCATGCTAGCCTCCAGACACCCCCAGTCCAAAAGTATACATTTCAAAGCCCCCACACCAGCATCCTGGTCCCTTCCCCTCCCCTCCTACCCTAAACTCCCAGGACTATTCCAGCTCAGGGACTTCCCTCCCCCCAGCTACTCTCAATTTTCAATCTCTTGCTATTCCCTGCTCTCTCACTTCCCTAGCCCTGGCCGTGACCAGTCTGTTTCTTTTTAGATGCCTCTGGATATTTTTCTCTGTCTTACCCACAATAAAAACCTTCCCTCTGAAGGAACAGTCATTTCAGAAGTTTCCTTATTGAGTCCCCTCACACACATAGTTAAAATAAACTTTCAAGTAATAAAAAATAAAAAGCAATTGTATTAATTTTTTGACTCAGTCGGTAATAAAATAAAAATCCTAAAAGGGAAATCTTTGACTCTGGAAGTAAAACTTTATGCTCGGGGAAACACACTATTATCAGCAAAGAAACTGGTAGTTAATGCTATTTGACATGCCCTGCAAACTCCTTGATACTAGGCTGCAGGAGATCCTGAATATTCTATTTGACTGTCCCACATGGGACATTTTCTCTGGTATTCCAGGGACATGGCAGTCATTGATATGTAAAACGTGAAAATAGTGTCTAAACTTGATCTAAGGACTAAGCAAGCTCAACTTTACCTATGGCAAAGTCTTCCTCACCAGGCCCATGGTGACTCTGGGCAGTCGTGAAAGCACGTGTTAGGCCAGCCACATCCTCAAGTAAAGATGGTAAAATTGCAGTAATTAACTTGGACAAACCTGTCATGACTTTACTTTTACATTCTCTTGGGAAATACCAAGGTGGTGTTGCTATTCAATGTTGTGAGAGTGATCCATAGAATATTCGACTCAGAAAAATCTCTGGGGGCATTATTATATACATGTTTCCCATTAATAGAGGAAACCATCTTTAAAACTTCCCAGTGAACTACAGCCACACAACATTTGTTATAATTTCCTTTTTTCTATAATCCAATATGCTGGCTACATGGTTGTAAAACAAATTACTTTATATAGTGGGTTCTCAAGAGAAGACTAAAAATCATCCTGATTCCATTAAAATAAGAGCAAGGAAGACTTGGAAGAAGTAAAATAAACTGCGGCCATTTATAGTAAGTTACAGGTTTCAGGTGTATCTCCAAAAACCCAATCCATCAAATGGTACCTCCCACAAATATACGCAGACGTCCTAATGCCCTATAGGACATTAGGACAAACACACAGACACATGTCTGTGTGACTTGACCTCTTTGCATGTGTAATCATGATAAGATGAAGTCACAGGGTGGGGGCCTCTTAATCCAAACTTTTATCTTTACAAAAATGAAAGACAAAGACACATAGGGAGACCAAGACTGGAATTAGGCATCTACAGGCCCAGGAAGAATTTCTGCAAACATCTGCTCCACGAATAAAGGAAGACTCATGCCTACAAGCAGCCTAGAAAGCATGGTCTAGCCACACCTCCACACTCTGAACTCGTAGACTCTGGAACTGTCACACAGTACATCTCTGTTGTTTTTCAGGACTTCGGGCACTCCATTCCAGCAGTCCTAGGAAAGAAATCTACAAGGCAACCAGCTGTGTGGGGTTGTACCTCCCACATGAAGCACTCACACTTAATCCTTGCCTGAGGTCTGCTTTCCAGAGAACCATTGCTATGGCAACGCAAAATCCTGGATCAACCAGAGGAAGATTGGTTGAGGAATATTTGAGTTCACAGAATATTGACAGAGGGAAGATTTGGATGAAAGGCCTGACATGGCAGCATGCTATGGGGAGGGATGAAAAATATTAAATTAGTTGGTGGAATAAAACAGACATGATCCAGGGCCACAGGGAGGACCTGGGTTTGCTGTTTCCTTTCTCCCTATATGTAAAGAGAGAATTTACATGTTATAATAAAATGACCAAGTCTTAGATAATCTTTTGTGATTTTTTAATTAAAATAACAATCCAATATAACTGCTTTACCAGATGGTTTTATGTCAACTTGATGTTGACTTGATGTTGAGTCATCGATGGCTTGAGTCATCGGAGAGGACAGAACCTCCGTTAAGAAAACGCTTTCATAGATAGGGGTTATAGGCAAGCACGTAGGGTATTTTCTTAATTAGTGATTGATGGGGGAGGGCCCAACCTATTGTGGGTGGTGCCATCCTTGGGCTGGTGGTCCCGGGTTCTATAGGAGAGCAGGCTGGGCAGGCTATTACAGGAGCAAGTCAGTAAGTAGCACTCCTCCATGGTCTCAGTATCAGCTTCTGCCTCCAGGTTCCTGCCCTGTTTGAGTTCCTGTTCTGGTTTCCTCCAATGATGGACTACAATATAGAAAGGTCTACCTGATAAAGAAAGACAAACCCTTTCCTCCTCAACTTGCTTTTCAGTCATGGTGTGTAGAGGACCGCAACCACATTCGCCATTCCAAGATGGCGCTGACATCCGGTTTCACCGCCCGGTGAACAGGATAACGCGCATGTGTTGGTAAATTTCCAACGCTGTAGTCCCCGCCTCTCCCGAGGCGTCATCTGGGATGATGGGCAGCTGACCAATCTGAGAGTGACACGTCCGAGGCGGGGACTGTTTCCTATATAAGGGCTGGGTTCGCCTCGCTCTGGGTCTCCGCCATGTTGGCTTATGCTCTCGCTCTCAAGATGCATTAAAAAGCTGTTCTGCAGAAGGATCCTACGTGCCCTGCGTCGTTCTTGCTGGCGAGACAGTAGCGCGCGGGACAATGGTGTTTCATCACAGCAATCGAAACCCCAACTAAGCCAGCTGCCATCCAGATAAAATTGCCTTCACCTCATTTAACTCCTGCCTTTGGTCAACATAACTCACCAGCTTACTAACTGAAGGTAACTACTAGCTGCCTTTATCCTCCTAGGCTTGTTTTGCGGCTCGAATGGTCTATAAAGAACCAGGGGGCCAGCACTACTTTTACTCAGCGTAATGCTTTTGAGACCCTGCCACCCAATGTGTGTGCTCCCCATTTGCACAGAGGAGTAGCGCCGTGCTGCCTGCCTAAATCGGGTTTGTTTACGCCGCAGTCCACGGCTGATGAGTGGTTTGAGCTGTTTGCAGCTTAGGCCTGTAATGGGTGGAACTGCCAAGTGCTAAGTGTGTATACATTCACTTCTTTCTTCAGCACACGCAACCGTTTCTCTCCGTGTAAACCCGCTCGTGTACTGTGTACTTTCTAGGGCAACAGCAAAAGGCTGTGAAAACTTCCTTAGTTTTTCAAAGTGACTGCACGGTTTTGCACAATCCGTGAGAGCCACAGTCATTCCATAGCCTCGCCAAAAGCTGGAATTGTCAATCTTTTTAATTTTAGCCTTCCTGGTGGGTGTGCAGTGGTATTCACCGTGATTTTAATATGCATTCTTCCTGATGACTAATGATGATCGCCTTTTAATATGCCTATAATTACTTAGCTTCTTTTATGAGATGCTCATCCATGCGCTAGGCTTTTGTTCTGGCCACATCCCACCTCCCAAATCTGTGTGAGTCATCCATTGCTACCTTACAAATCACTCACAAACCTTCCAGCTGACAGGGCCCGGGGCCTGGGAACAGTTGAGCAGGTGTTTCGGCTCAGTCTTAGGCTCAGTGGCAATGCTGACTGGGGCTGGCATCATATGAAGTCTCTGTGGGGTCGGAGAAACCAATGTTACATGGGAGAAGTGTTTCATGTTACTCAGTAAAATATTTAAAAAGCTAAAAGAACCCCCTGCTACCCACACAGACCTCTTGGTCTCAGTTTGGAAAACCTCATCCACAGGGAGGCAAAGAGATACAAGGCTCACAGTTAGCTGAGTTAGGGGCAATATACACGTCTTCAAGTGCAGAGAGCTGTTTGCAGTTGCTTGCTGTCATTAAGCCCCGTGCTGCACTTAGTCATTTAGTATCGCCAGGTACCCCACAAACTGTTAGTAGACCCCAAAAGCTACCTGCAGAAATGTACACCTGAACTAGAAGGCACAACGTGGAGAACGCGCCCAACAAAACTCTTATTGATGCATCATTAATTAAAAATCTAAACCCTTGTGGAAAATTACTTTAAGGTGTGTGACTTTTGTTTATGCTGCATTTGTTTAACTCTGTGAAGCTGTGATTCTTTGCCTGTCTAAAACACCTGATGGTTCAATAAAGAGCTGACTGGCCAATAGTGAGGCAGGAGCAAGGAAAGGCGGGGCTGGCAGGCAGAGAGTAAACAGGAGGAGAAATCTGGGCAAAAGAAGAAGGAGCCAGATAGAACAAGGAGAGGAGGACATTGACGGTCAGTCACCCAGTCATGCAGCAGCCATGGAGAAAGAGGGAAAGTAAGATCTACAGAAGTAAGAGAAGGGAAACAGCCCAGAGGCAAAAGATAGACAGGTTAATTTAAGTTAGGAAGAATGGCAAGAAGCAAGCCAAGCAATCAGGCATTTTATAAGTAAGAATAAGTCTCCATGTGTGTTACTTGGGAGCTGGGTGGTTGAACCCCCCCAAAAGCCTAAAGAATAAAACAACCGACAACACTAAACTGTGGCATCATTAAAGAATCAAATTGTGGCATGAAATTAAAAGTGATAGGTACTGTACACGGGGACAAATAAGTCCTGAGTCCCTAACAGGTTACCCAGGAAAAGCATGCTGTTGACAGCTCAGTCATAGAACGTGAGGTTAGATCACAAACCAAAAAATTTACAAACAAGGATCCCACTAGGCTTAGGGCAGTGGTTCTAAACCTTACTAATGCTGTGACCCTTTAATACAGTTCCTCATGTTGTGATGACCCCCAACCATAGTTATTTTTGCTGTTACTTTATAACTAATTTTGCTACTGTTATGAATTATAATGTAAGTGTCTGATATTTCCAATTGATGTGGGATGCGCCTCTGTATTTTATGAATATGTTTTATTACCATTGGTTAATAAAGAAGCTGCTTTGGCCTGTAGCAGGGCAGAAACATAGCCAGGCTAGAAGAGAGAGAGAGAGAGAGAGAGAGAGAGAGAGAGAGAGAGAGAGAACAGAGTCAGAGAGGCGACATGTAGCTGCTGAAGGAGACAGATACCAGAGCCTTACCAGCAAGCCACAGCCTCATGGCAATATGCAGATTAATGGAAATTAATGGGTTAATTTAAGATATAAGAGCTAGCTAGAAAAATGCCTAAGCTATTGGTCAATCAGTGTTGTAATTAATATGTGTGATTATTCGGGTCTGGGTGGCCAGGAATGAAAGAAAAATCTTCAACTATATCCGATAGTCTTAGGAAATCCCTGTAAAAGGGTTGTTTGACCCTCAAAGTGTCGAGACACATAGGCTGAGAACTGCTGGCCTAAACCAATACAAAACCAGTCAAGTTAGAGGTGGCCACACAAACAATAAGCAAAGACAAGATGCATTGTGAGAAAGCAGAGAGTCAATTATTCTTCCAGCTTCTCTTGTACCTAGTTAACTTAAGTAGTTATCACCCTGGCAGTCACTGTTCATTCTTGGCATCCCATAGCTTGGCATCCCATAGCTTGGCATCCCATAGGGCCTTCTGAGTGTGTGGGGGGGAAGGCTTGCAGGTGCCTTGAACACTTTGCCAAAACCTGAAGGCCTAAAGCACTCATCTTTTTAGTTTTTCTTTTGTCTTAGGGATGGAACCCAGGGCCTTGTGGTTGCTAGGCAAGCACCCAGTTACTTAACTGCATCCTCAGGCCTTCTTTATATTGATTTAAGAAGCAAGATCTTACTAAATCGCCCAGGGTAGCCTGAAACTGTTACCTAGGATACCTCAAACTTGCGTTTCTCCTACCTCAGCCTCCTAAGTCTGAAAGTTCAGGTCACCATCGGTATGCTTGGCTAGATCTGATTTCGCTACAGCCTCTCTGATGGGTGACTAAGATGGACTGTCTCAGATTATGTCTGTCTTCATTGAGTCAGAGTCTACTAAGTCTTAGGCATGTTGATCGGTTGGGATTTTGTCCACCATTGTAAAAGCATTAATTTGCTCTATTGCCCCTCGGAGGCACTATGTGTTTCTCCTTCCCCACCCTTGTGCTTTCTCAACAATATAAATGTCCGCAGTCCACCTGCCCAACCATGAGGCCCCAATCCAACCATGAGGCCAGGATGCTCACCCAAGACCATGAATAGCTCAGGAGTTCCTAGCTAGGTCGCAGAGGCCAGTTAACCTATAAAGTCAGCATCAAAATGCTTTTGCATAAGAAAGAAAACTCACTGAGATCTTTGGCCATCAGACAATCGCCAAACTACAGCCCACCCCAGAAAATCAGTAAAAGCTCGCTGCTTCCTTTGTTCAGGCCTCTGGCCTGTGCTAGCTGCCTTTGGCTTGAGTTGTCCAATATCACTTCCAACAAAGGAGCTTTGCCTGTCTTGTTCGTAATGCACAGTTCTGTCTCATTTCTATTATTTCCATGCCATAGGATTCCAGTGTTTAGTATTATGATCATTAAGAAGTAATCACCAAGGGGGCTTCGGATATAATGCAGTAGGAAATTCTAAGGAATGTCTACTGTATATAGGGAAAAGAAATGAACATTGTCAGGTGATATCATTTATAGACACACATGAGAAAAATTAGAAAGGAAAGTTATAATAAGCATGTAAAAATGGTGAGATAATTGCACCCTGGTCTAATCATTACATATTGTATTCATTTACTGTAATGTCGTACTCAGCCAAGCGGTGAGGGCACATGCCTTTAATCCCAGCACTCAGGAGACAAGGTAGGCCGATCTCCGAGTTCAAGACCAGCCTGGTCTACAGAGTAAGTCCCAGGACAGCCAGGGCTACACAGAGAAACCCTATCTCTAAAACAAACTAAAACAAACAAACAAACAAGCAAACCAAAAACCGAAAGAAAGGAGAGAACCAAACCATTGAGAGCAGCTGGGAGTAAACTCCAATTGACACGGAGCGGGCGGGGTCTGACGCTCTTAACCACGTAAGGCACGTTTATATTTAGGGACCAGTTCCTACTCTTCCGGCTCTGCTGCTTGCTTTCCAGTGCAGTCAGTAAACTAGACAGGGAGTTGATTGGTCATAGATTCATAAGGTTGGGGTACTAGGAAGTAAGCACGGAACCTGCATATCCACTGTTCAGATGCCGAAGCCTGAGAGCCTTCGAAACTGGTTTCGTTAAGGGAAGTATGGCAGCGTCCCGCCAGAAATACCAGCCCTTTGTAAACAACCGCAGGATTGAGACTCACAGGCCGGTGTAGGCTATGTGTGAGACCCTCTCTCACAGTGGGAAAAATGAACATGGCTTTAACTAAAATATTTTTGAGTTATGAAAAAAATACCTGAATCCTGAACCTATCAAGCAAAATTTAGGTAGCGGCAGGGGAGGGGGATCATCTAAACTTCATTTATTACTTGGTCTGTTAAATCTTCCTACGGCAGTTTCTATAAATAAGAGCCCCATGGCAAGGATGTTGCCTAAAAGGCAAATCTGAGTCGTGTTTCTAGGGATAGCCTTCTGCACGCAGCCAGGGGCTTGGCTGCAGCCCCAAGGATGATGTCGCTTTTGAGCCCATGCCATGGTTCTTACCTCACCTGACCATGGCTGTTATTGGTAATTAGCGTTCTTTCCACGTGAGCCTGGCCACCACCTCAGCAGCTTCCCACACAGCACGACCAGCCTCACCAAGGATCATCCAGAGTCAATGCATCAGATAAAATCTTTATACCACTGCGAAACACTTTAATAAACGCCGTCTACATTTTAGTCGCTCATCTTTCCAAGCACGTGAATGGCGAAGGTCTAGAAGAGGGTATCTCATGAATGACCTCCTACCAATAATTGGCAAGCCCGGTAAAATATTATATCACAGGGTTTCCAGTAGGTGTTTGGACAAAAGAAGAAAAGGAGAATATATTAGGGTTGTCTGTTTGCTATAGCAGTCTGATTCCTATGATAACTGAAACATACGTTTTCTTGCTCGATAAATAATCTGAATTGGTTCCAGGTTTGGGAGACAAAAGTAGGTGCATTCTATTCTCTGTCAGAAAAGATCCAGGCTGATAAAGGGTGTGCATTTGTGTGTGCGTGTGTGCATGTGCGCACGCGCACACAGACAGCATCTTTAAGGGTTCCTGAGAAGACTGAGATAAAGACCAAGTCCTGGGAGGACCAGCTATAACCTGTGTTGATAGATATCACTTGTCAAGGTTCAGGAGGTCTCCTGGATTGAATTCACAGCCTCTTGTTTCCTGTGGAAACAAAAGCAAAACCACTTCTCCAAAGCATTTTTGATTTCCATTTGAGAAATACATTTTTTTACTTTTTTTTAAAGTTAAGGCATTCTTAAAGTACTAGTTTGGTTTAATTCATCAGTCCCTCTTTCAATCCCATGTCTCTTAGCAGCTTTTATTTGCTTATTAGCATTCAAAAAAGTTCAAAACCAACACAATAGCATAGAGGATCCAGACTCCCTGTGTATTTCACATCTTTGTAAATCTTTTTTCTCTTATATTATGTTTACTGTCCCTTTAAAGACTTTTTATTTTTTAAAAACTATTTCTTTCTATAACTGCCTATACCCATTGTCTTTCTTTCTTAAGCCTATGCACACTGTAAAAAGCACTGGACCCTCTTTACAGTTTTTTCCGTCCGGCCCACTTTTACTGCTTATCTCTAGTCTTTTTGGAC